AGGAGATATGACAAATGTGACATGTTTGTGTACCCGGACTTTCTTCTACTTACGTTTTAAACATTCATTACCCCTTTTCAGAATTGCGGTTCATTACCTTAATCACAAACAAACACGCTTGTCATTTTTTTTATGTGAATAACATTGAACAAAACAATTGATAAAAAACTTTGAAAAGCCATTTGGAATACTTTTGTCATTCAATATTTTTTTTCAGATATACGATACATTTATGATGTTGCCTTTTGACAATTTTGGTGATGCCCTTACTGCCTTCAAACATACATTGATGAAGTTGCTTTTCTGATCATAAATATTGTCTTTATCATTCCAACCGCCTTAAATGATGGCCGTCTCAGTATAATAGTTGCAATAAAATTCAGAATGGAAATGGGGAATGTGTCAAAGAGACAACAACCCGACCAAAGAGCAGAAAACAGCCGAAGGCCACCAATGGGTCTTCAACACAGCGAGAAAATCCCGCACCCGGAGGCGGGCTTCAGCTGGCCCTTTAACAAAAATGTGTACTAGTTCAATGTAAATGGACGCCACACTTAACTCCAAAACATATAAATGAACTAGAATTTTTAAAAAAATACAAGACTAACAAAGGCCAGAGGCTCCTGAATTGGGACAGGCGCAAAAATGCGGCGGGGTTAAACATGTTTTGTGAGATCTCAACCCTCCCGCTATACCTCTAGCCAATGTACAATAAACAAACACACAGCAATACACACAGTAAAACTCAGTTAAAAAGAAGTCCGAGTTTGATGTCAGAAAAGGTAACAAAAGAAACTAAGCAAAATGACAATGATGCATAAATTAACAAAGGACTACTAGCAGTTACTGACATGTCAGCTCCAGACCTCAATTAAACTGATTGAAAGATTATTTCTTCGTCATATGAAAATCAAGCACAATCCATCCCGTTAGGGGTTCAGTATCATACCATCATAAGATATATGAGAAGGACATAATCCGTATCATGCCAACAACTGGTTTTAGAATAAATGTGTTTATTTCCGATGCAAAGACCCTATGAGTGAATCAATATTAATACCAAAATATGCCATCTTTAATGACCTGACAACAGTATCGTAACTATACCCCATCTGAAAAGGTCTGTTTAAAGGTTTGGTTAGCTTTCAAGGTGAATGTCGACATTTTTGTGCTTTGTACAGAATATTACCATAAAAGATTGGATGTGAAATACCTGATCGTATAAGATGTTGATTTATATTTACGAATGATGTCCATGTACCGATGATAACATTTAGTAAATGTTTTGACTAGTTTATGATATCGAAAACCCTGGTGTAATAATTTTTCAGTAATACAGAGGTTTCTTTCATTTAAATCAAATTCGTTGTCTTATGATGACCCTATTTGATTTGGTTATTAGTCTCGTCATTTTATTGTCTCATTGATACTCAAAATGATTGCTAAAATTTACAAAATACTAAATAACATTTAGATAAAAGATCCCGTTTCACATTTAGACTCAATATTTCTGTATTCAGTAAAATATTTTTTTATCTAATACACCTATTTATTACCAATTTCTTGATTATTCAGACTTAGTTAGAAATTAAAATATCGTCATCTGGGACCTGTTACTAAACTTTCATATTTCAGCTGAAAGACCTATTTCGATTCATCGGTATTTTGTTTGTCTTTATGATGGGGGTGGGTGTGCTGTATCATGCAAATATGTATCCAGCGCACTATGATATGTGGAATCCAACTCATTGGACTTATTGGAGGATTTGGAAGATTATGTACATTCCGTATTGGCAGATTTATGGAGAACTTTTCTTGGAAGATTTTAAAGGTAATATTATATAAGCCAATAAGACAGGTTCAGCGTAGGATAAAAGGTACATTGATATGTATGTGCTTGCCTTTTTATGCAATATGATGGTTTATGGGATACATATACCGAGTTTTATTTTCTTCCCATATTCTAATAGTGAAAAAAAAACAAAAACAAAAGACGTTTTCATAGTGGCGTTATTCAAAGAATTATATGATAAAATTGGTATTTTTGAATAACTAAACATATCAATCGTTTCGATAGAAATAATGAAAAAAAAACAGCTGACTTTATCTAAAAAACAAATGCTTTAAAAAAACAACATCAAATAAAATTCATTTTTTCATATTCTAAAAATGAATCCTTATTTTACAGCAAATAGTAATGAACCATGTACTACAAACCGAAGTGAATGGGAGAATTACCCTGACGTAAAGGAAAGATGCATTGAGTATGACTGGGTTCTGATCGTCATTGCTGCGTTGTATATGCTCATATCTAACCTGTTGTTGGTAAATCTTGTCATTGCTCTGTTCAGGTAGGTATTTGTCATTGGAATGGTTGCCATAATTTCCTAAAAATTAATACCAACGTGTTGTAACATCTAAACCGTTAAACATTTACTTCAAACAATGAAGTAATGAAATAATCATTCACGAAAAGTAGTAGCATGTTTGTTTTTAATGTAGTTTATTCAATATTTGAATACATTTCCGAATTCAGCTGTTTTCTGTTTGTTACATCGAAATCAGAAAGAAAAACACTTATGCAGATCAAAAGGAAATGCCATGCTGGCAATGATTAGACAGATATTTTTTTCTTTTATTTAAATTTCATAAAAGTAATGTTTTATTTACAATATTTATGTCATATGTCACTTGATAATGTAATTCTGTTGAAAAAAATGAAGTTTAAGGAGAATGTTTTTCTCGACCAACAATACAGAATAGAAAAGAATGCACCTGAAATATGAGACTGTGAAACTTCTGAGTTTGATATGATCCCTTTGGCCATTATTAAAGACCGAAAGGTTATACACTTTTTGAAAAAGGTCCCTATCAAAGGTCATTTGACTGCTATAGAATAACGGTTTGAATATTGTTGACAATCGCTGATCACATTTCAAAACTAATTTGAATATTTGATGGTCCCTACTATGTATTGAATATCTTAACTACACACAAAAACCTTCAAACTATGTTTCATCTCGGCTTCTAGAAAGTTTTCTCCGACTAATCTTTCTTTACTTCTATTAAAGAAATTGTTTTTAATTTTCATTGTATGACATAATGGAATTTGTTATTTTTTTGGATTGTCAAACACTCTTTAGGTTAATCACATGCTTTTGATGGTCCGTTCAATTCAATTGACAGTAAGAACTTTTCGACACTATACACTATACACTATCAATTAGAAGTTCTCTTTTTCATCAAATGGCCTTTTTGAAAAATCCTATTAAAGATTTATTTCATATAAAGCCTTCTTCTGTAATGAAAAAGGGAAATATGCTAGATATACTTGCTTTAACTTTAATGAGATGATTATACTGTAAATTTTCTTCATGACATCTGTATACGTTTCGGCAATACAGTTATCGACAGGCTTTAGACAGTCATAAAGGTGCGAATTGCGCCTTTTAAAAACAAACACTTACACCGTTTTCTTGATGATTTTGTTTCTTTGAATAATTAAGAATTCTCTAGTTTTACTGCGGAAATTTCCCAAAGGAACTTATTTTAAATAAATCAAATACAGGCAGAAATAATTGTCCTTATCTAGATTTTTTAGTTTCACATTGGGAACTCTTAAAAAAATTAACGACAAAAGAGATGACTTTTCCCCTAATTTTATTTTTCTTGTGGACGATGGTGTTCCCTTGGCCTCTTCGTACGGTGTGTATATTTTACAAATTCGTCGCGATGCACTTGGCAGTTGTCGCGTTTTAGATTTCAACGAACGTAATTTATGTACTACTGGTAAATTATTAAGTCGGGGATTTCGTTATCACAAATTGATAAAAACTTCTACTTAATTCTTACCTGTATAATCCTTATTAAAACGGGATATCACATACAAAATTTACGGTGATGTTAGTGAGCTTCAAAGAAACGTATTTTTAAAAAGTTCCAATTCAACACTGTAGTAAAATCTTTTAAAATTGTTTTATCGGTATTTACACTGATTTTGTATATGAAAAATTAAAACATAACAAAAAATATTTCGGTGTATATATGTACATTTTTTGAGTACTCATAATCCTAGCCTACGTCCTGTCAATAGTGTTAACTTAAGCAATTGTCTTAGTTATAAAGAGGCATAACTCTAGAACGGTTAGTGACTCAGAGTGCGAAAATGAAAATGGGACGGACGGAGGACGGACGGAAAGACTGAAAGACGGACGGAAGGACTGTCAATGGTAACACCTACTGCCCACGTTGATTACGTCGGAGGCATAAAAACTCATGTACTATAATTTGTGTATAAATATCAAGTAATGCTAGACTTGTGCCCACATACCACGTATGTTAGTAACTCAGAAACCTCGTAAGTATTAAAGTCGAAGTTTTATCCTTTAGGAGATGACATGTTGACCGCAACCGTTTGATAATCCATGCATAAACAATCCTCGTCTTATTTAGACTATGGATGATTTATATAGCTTTTATATAGATATCATTTTTTTCATGTCACTGGGCTGCGTCCACGTTGACGTATACCCAAATGATTTTTGTATTCATGATTTATACCCCAAAAGGTCTAAATCAATAAAAGGTTTCTTGGATATTTAAATGCTTTATCTTAGTATTTGTTAGAAGTGTGGAATATTCGTAAACTAACCGTCAGGATTTCCAATATACCGATGTATATGTAAAGAATTGCTTCACAATGATATTTAATTGTTAAACCTATGAATAATATTTTCAAACCTTTATGCATGTAGTTACCGTTTTGAGCTTATGCAAACATCTCAGAATATTTCGACTTCTACATCCGTTCAAAAAATGAAAGCAATTATGGTAGTTATATTTGTAGTTTTTAAAAATTCTGATCATAAAGTTTGTGCGATATGTTACAACCATTATACTCAATCAAAGGTAGAGAGTATAAAAATGATTCATATCATTACCAACAAATTCAAAATGACGGAATAATCGGTTTATAAATCAAAACTATTTATTTTTTACAGTTACCGTTTTGAAATTGTGCAAGCTAATTCTGAGAAATTGTGGAGATATTGGAGATATTCTGTAATCATGGATTATCGAACCAGAGTTCCAGCTCCTCTCAATTTGATTGTCAGACCTTTTATGATGATTGCAAAATGTATTAAACGTTATAAACAGAGTTGCAATAAAGGTCCCGAAAAGGGTAAGTTACAATTATATCGTGCATTGAACTTTTATTTTTATTATAAAACAAATTTAATTGTATATTCTAATTTTAATCGTGGCTTAGATTTGCAAAAAGTACGTCAGGAGACTTTATTGCCATGGAAGCTTAATATTAATGACCGTGCGTTCTTATACGACAATGATTTTCTTTCTTTTCATGTTATTTTTTTTATGATAATGATACGTTATTTTCATCTTGTCGAGTCTGAAATTCCGATTGTTTCAATATGCACGTGTCTGTAGTTACGTCTGAGATTTTTGGTTAATGTGGTATTCAAATTGCTTAAAAATCTCTTTACACAAGGATACTAATGTCATCGATTGGTTATTGGTTAATATTTCTGTTGGATTTTAATTTTGATTTTGTTGATGGTAGATTCTGATTCCAAAGATTCAGAAATATATTATTGATTAAACTGAGAAGTATTAGTATACGAATAATAAGTCAAGCTATTCTATTTTACTAGTTGATTTCTAAAAGTTGTTGTGGTTGTTGTTAGACGTTTGAGACGCAATCGAGATCTGTAATCTGTTTATTTTCTGTTTCTTTATAATTTTAGGGTTTCGTGAAAATTCGGGATTTTGCTGCACGGTGCATAACATTGAGCAGTTGCCATGATGTCCAATTTCATAGGTGTATTTACTAATATAGTTTTTATTATTTTTCCAGTGGCACAAGAACGAGAAATCAAACGGATGGAAAGATTACAGGATATATGTGCAAACAAATGCATCCGTGCAATAAAAACATAGTATTTAAACCATATGTCAATACCGTCGTTCATACGTAAATAACTTCAGTAGTTCTCTGTTCATAAAGTATGAACAAGCGTGAAACTTTTATTTTTGGATTTATGCACCCTGTTTTAACATTCCAAGTTCCAAATATGACTCTAAAGTGAAATTCAATTGTATTGGTTTGATTCATTGTACAAATGACATTTGAAGTATGTTTCTTCTCTAGTTCCAATAAACAAACTGAGTTAGTGTTGGTGTGTATTTTGTCTTTGATTTCTAATTTATGTCTGTTTCTTCTCTCAGTCCAATATAATAACTGAGTTAGTGTATTTTTTTTTTATTTCTTATTTATGTCTTGAAATTTATTATTTTAAGAAGAAGTCAAACTACTTGAAATTTCAACTGTGACCAGTACCTAAATTTAAGGGTATTATGTGAACAAGATAATCACTGTCTAGATAATTGCCAGTTACAAAAATGTATCTATTGTTTACAAAAACCACATGTTCAAAGTCAGGAATATGACGGTTGTTTTTGAGTTCGTTCCGTTGGTTTACAATGTCAAGTTTTATGGACTTCCCCCTTTTGAAATTTGAGTTAGGTGTTTGTGTCAATGCTTTTTAAATAATAACTTATAAATGTATTCCCTATCAGTTCAAAATCAAAGATTATTCGACAAAAATTTACAAGCATCACATAATATTCTACCAAACAGATTGAAGAGGTTTTCATCAAACTCGAAGGATGTAAAACATCTTTAAAATAATACCCTTTACTCTAGCTTTATAGGTGTAGTTTTTATGGTTTCCTATGTCATACACTTTACAAGAGCATGTTTACTGGTGCAGTAAAATCATCTCCACAGACTTTCATATAACAGTAATCGATGGGTAATGCAAGTCATAGTGAACTAGACAATTAGGTATTGAATCGAACACTGAGTGAAATGAGGACATATTCGAAGCCTCTATGTCAGATTCTTATGTCACGATAACAAACCATGGTAAAATAAGTTGCTGTATTCAACCATTGTAGAAACAAAAAAATAAGGAAACAAAAAAAAAGGAAATACAAACATACAAAAAATATTTACAAAACATTCTGCTCAAACCGGTGCGAGGGGCCGTCTTAAAATTGCAGTGAGGTGATATTGTTTTGCTCCGTGTTGAAGGCTTCACTTTGACTTTTAGACGCAGAACAGCAATTAAAGCGCTGATCCTTTAATTTTAGTGTGTTTGTTGCTGTGCATGTACTGATATAGTGTCATGGATGGATACCCAATATCCTTTGGTTTTTTTTCTAATATAAAACAAATGAAAAAAATCCATGACTTGATATGATGAGCATCTTTTTCTTAATTGCGACTTTATGCATAGTATAACGTACGATATCATCCATATTCATTTCTTCTCTACACATGTGATGATTCTATTTTTTTTTTTAGGACTATACATTGACCCACATATGTCTTTGCATCTTTGTGTCGTATGTTTGCTGTCACATAGAAGTATGCCTAATATCTCTTTCTTTTGCTTCACATTGTACATTCTTTTTAACTTAAATATTTAAGTAAATGCTAATCCATGATTCTGTAAATATAAGCTATATTCTGTGGTTCATTTCTAGAAAAGTAGTCTACCGTATTACTCATTTGAACCTCCTTTATTTTAGATGAATGAAATGCATACCGATATAACTTTAAGTCCCACTTTTGTCTACATACGTAAATCTGAACATTTTGATATATGCTAATACTTTTTATTCCAGTAAGTTATACCCTGATCTGTGATGGATATTTAATAAATGCCCAATATAATAACAAAACTTAATACTGACAAAAAACCGAGTCTTAATTGGATGGAAACAATGTATGATTTACTATAAAAACTACAATGATTCTGGACGCATAATTTGGTATACAAAAGACGCGGATTTCGTCTAGACCCGACAATGACGCTCGAAACAAATAGTTGGAAGGTCAAGTCAAATACAAAATGGAACAGAATATAAAACAAAGCCGAAAATTTATGCCAACTTCGGCTTTGGCTATCTATGTCTGTGGGTAGAAAAGCCTTAGTGGTTCGATATTTCTCCATTGAATACGCAACTTAAGTACAGAGAATGAACGCATCATTGCTATTGCATGTCAATACAACGTACTGACCACGGGGTTTGTTGTACCTATTCAGACGGAGCGTCCACCATCAGTGACATTTACTTCGTGACAAAATTCAGGAAAATAGACTGCTTATATTTTGCTCGCCAGATGCGCGTTTCGTCTACATAATACTCAACAGTAATACTTGAATCAAATCAGTTTGTTATTTTTTTTCCGACAAATACTGGTTTTTATATACTTTTCGATGTTTGATTGTATAGATCAAATGTTTTCGTTTTCTTTTTCCAATTTCAAATCATTAATTAACAAACGCTTTAATAACGCATTTCAAGAATAATACTTTAAACCTTATAAAACATCGATTTCTTTGATATATAACAGAGAGTCGTTAACTGGTAAATCATTAATGGGGGTCACGGTAGACGAGTGGTTTATGTAGTTCAACTACTTTGTCACAAGCCTGTCAACACTGCGGTTGTGAATTCGAACTCTTCACGTGGCAGGTGCGCTCGACTCAAATCTTAATTGACTTGAATTTTTATATTTCCTGCCGAAGGTCTGTTGTTTTCTAGAGGGTTTCCGGCCATCTCCACCAATAAAAAAGGATGTTAGGGGTGTTAAACACCAATAAATTAATTCAAGCAATCAACCAATCAAAAAATTGAACAAATGTTCTATTTTTTCTTATTTCATGCATATATTTACCAATTTGTTACCGTAAACATGAAGATTAATACTTTATTTATTACTAATGAACGGTTTATTGCATATTCAATGTGCGCAATGAATATACAACTACAGATTTGTTTTGTTTCGTTCCTTCGCAAGAATAATATGAACAACAAACAATTGAAATTTTAAATTTGGCTAATTATTTGTCATGGCATTTATCCAACAATATTCAGCAATATAAACTAAAAAACAACCAACATAAACAAACTGGCCAACAAGTTAAAACTTGATAACAATTGGTCACTGAATGGCAAACCAACAGTAAATGCAAAACAATTTCTAGCTGCTGGGCAGATCCACAACAGCTCAATGAACAATATTTTAATAAATCACTACCAATTGAATCATGTTGATGATGACATCCAACGCACTTTCCAAATTGAACGGAATGCCATGACGATAGACATTTTTTTTTTTTTTTATTCCTGCAAATTCCCTGAATTTTCAGGTTTCATTTAATCTGCCGATGAATGTTGAAACGTCTGACAATTTTGATGTTACCTGACAATCTAATTGGAACATTCAATACATTTGGATCTGTTCACCATGTAATCTGAAAAATATACTGAAAACAGCAGCAATTTTGTGTATTTAAGGGAGGGAGGGTGGGTTGTGCAATCTTGTTGAAAAATAATCATGGAATGAAAATTGAGCGGGAACACGTGTTTATATATGACCAAAGTCTACGAGGCGCTTCAAAGCATATTCTTTCGTATGTTTAAATATATGGTTATGTAAGGATTTAAATGGCAGACCGTAAATAATGGACTGACAACATTCGAAACACAATAAACAAATAAATGTATTTTGAATGCAATAAATCAATTCAATTATTAGATCATTAAATTTTAATAATAACCGTATCCGTAATGATAGAGAAAACAAACCTAAAGGGATCTAAGTAGCCATTTCGAATCGTCTTTCCTCCAGTTAAATAAAAAGTATCAAAATGAAATTATTTACTCAATACTTTACAACCTAACTCAATAAAAAAATATAATAGGATTGAACACTTTTTTTAATTGATTTTTTTATGTGTAAACTGAGGTGATTAACTCACAAATTGATTAAAAGTCTGAAGGAAGTTCATGTAAAATTTGTCAGCCAGTTACCCAATTTACACATTGATAACCTGTCGAAAAAATTTGTTTAATCCTTATAATTCTTAATCAAAACATTTGCAATTAACAATTTTTATTCATTGGCTACTATTTACCTACCATCAAATGCATAATTGACATGTTATTGATAAGAAGTAAACCGCCATATTGAATTTCTGAAATCCATATTATCGGTTAATGCAATGCTATATACAATGAAACAACATCTACCTCAAAATTTATTGGTAATGAGATATTATCTGAATTTGAAGTGTTCTAGAATGGAATAACCTTCAGCTTTGAAGTTTTCCTTCTTATGATGTTTTGTCATGACGTTAATGAGCCACGATTTTTCATGAAATATAGCGAAATGTTAATCTAATTTTAATTTGATACATTTCCCAAGCTTCAACTTTTTATTTCATTTTTTATATCTTAGAATAGAAATCACAGTCAATGTATTTGTTTTTCTATCTCAATTTACTTGTGTATCGTAATGCAATGGTTTATGAAGTCTTACATAGTGTAAACCAAGAGAAAAATCAAACGCACCAATCCGATTCAAGTAATATTAGATATGCCAATCATATAAGAATAATACATATTTATTTGATTCATGCATTAGTAAAGATCGAGCTTTCGAAATTCGAGTAATAATAATAATAATAATAAATTCTTTATTTAACGAAGGTAACTCATTTAACATACAATTGTTAATCTCACACGAGGCCTTCACACATTAAAATGAACAATTAATACATATAACAATCAATGCATATAACACAATAATCAATAGAGATGTACACAATTACAAATCTATATACACAAGCATAAAAACAGACTGCAAAACTAGCATGGCAAGAATGTCCTAAGAAAAAAAAAGTTTGGCCTTGGTAAATGAAGATGTCCAGATGTTGTTGACCTAAGAGAATAACTATATAGATCACTGCACGCAGTAAATTTACTAGTAAGATAATCTGGCGCTAGTCCATTCATACAATTAAACATTAAAATGGCTTGAAAATATTTTATCCGTGTAAAAATGTTCATCCAATTAAGTTCTTTAAACATTGATATTGATGGATAATCAAAAGGTTTATTCAAAATTAATCTTGTTGTGCGCTTAGCAGCTTATGAATCCGCTCAATGTTGAAGTTTGCGGTAAAACCCCATATGGTGCAACAATAATCAATTATTGGTAATATATAACTGTTGTAAAAAAGGATAAGACTTTTGCGAGGCAAGTATCGTTTTAATCTATTTAGCAGGTATAATCTGCTTGAAAAAATCTCACATACTTTATCTGTGTGAAATGACAATTATAGATTTTTATCAATATGGATACCAAGAAGTTTTTCTACTTTCACATTGTCAAATGAAGTCTGATTTTGCGATAATACACACAAGACATCATTAAAATTCTCAAGTTTTCTCTCAGATCCCATAAGCATACATTTGGACTTCTTGTTATTTATTATCATATTGTTTTCAGCACACCATTCAATTACGTTTTCAAAGTCTTTATTTAAACAAGAGTTTAAGTTTGAAATAGATTTGGACGTTATATGCAAAGTTGTGTCATCAGCATATAATTCAGACTCTGTGTGTTTTAATGTAAATGGGAGATCATTTATATAGATTAAGAATAATAAAGGTCCTAATATGGAACCTTGTGGGACCCCGATTGTTACATTATTGTATCCTGATTCAGTTGTTCCAATTTTAACCTGTGCAATCTATTTGAAAGGTAGGACGAAAACCACTTAACAGAGTGATCATCATATTTATATAAATTAAGTTTCGATAATAAGATATTATGGTTAACAGTATCAAATGCTTTTTTAAAACTTAGAAATAAAACAGCAGTGAAATTGCCTTTGTCAAATTCTTCTAACCATTTGTCAATTATTTTGATAAGTGCTGTGTGGCATGAGTGTTTTTCTCTAAATCCAGATTGTTGTTGTACTAGTAGTTTGTATTTAGTTAAAAATGAATATAATTGATTAAACACAGTCCTCTCAAAAATCTTGGACACTGTAGGTAAAATTGAGATAGGACGATAATTGTTAGGATCATCCTTATTACCGGCTTTGAGAAATTGGAGTTACTTTTGCATACTTTAGAATATCAGGAAATATACATGTACATAAACTAAGGTTTATAATATGAGTAAGAGAATCTACAATTATTGATTTTGATACTTTTAATATTCTTCGGCCAACTCCATTGGTCCCGGTTGATTTATTAATATCTAGATTTGTGAGATATTTAAAGACATCACCATTTGTGACAGTATACAGTGTAAACAATGTGTTATCATAAATTTTGGATTTCACATAATTGTTTATTTTCTCTGAATCAAAGTTAGAATGGGGATGTGGAATAAGTTTTTCTCCCACTGAACTAAAGTGATCATTTAAGCAGTTTACAATGTCAATTTTATCCGTAAGATTCTTATCTCGTATGTTATCATATCAATATCATGATTCGTTGTAGAGTTAAGATCTTTTAAATGTCTCCATAGAGTTTTACAGTTTTTATCATTACTGATGGCATCCATACAATACTTAGATTTTGAAGAACGAATCAGTTTATTTGTTAGGTTCCGATATTTCTTATAATTATCCGTATCTTTCTTTTTATGATAATAATCTCTCTGGTTAGCTGATTTGCATATTTCATCTGTATATCACTCTGGTTGATATTTATTTTTTATCCGTTTGGTTACAACAGGGGCATGTTTATCTAAAACATTTACAATAAGATAATACCACATATCAATTGCTTCATTTGGGTCACTTATTTCATGTATAACATTAAATGGTTGTTTAGACAAATCATTTAAGAACAATTCTTCATTAAATGTTTTGAAGTTTCTGTATTGGATCTTTAAATGTGAACCAGATTTATCCTTGATAAGCTTAGTAAATTTGTTTACAGTGCAGCTAATGGGATAGTGATCACTTGGGACATAAGATGGCACAGTAACATCGATAATATTTGTTGGATTAGTGCTGTAAATATGGTCAATTAATGTGACACTAGTTGAAGTAACTCGAGTAGGGTCAATAACCATTTGATGAAGACCATATGTTGAAATAAAATTTGACCATCTAATAGGAAGGGTCTTCATATAATCAATATTAAAATTACCCATCTATAAAATATTATCGTTTATAGAGAGGGCATTTATGAATTCTTTTTCGAAATTATCGTACCCGAAGTTTGACTGTTTGGTGGTCTGTATACAAAGCATAATAAAAAAGACTCATTATGTTTTCGGAAAATTTTAAACCACATAGTTTCGATGTTTTCACTTTCTAATGAAGTTAGTCTTTCATATTTAATATTGTTATCAAAGTAAACTATCCAGCCTCCACCTTGCCTGTTTTCTCTATCTTTTCTTGCATTAGTAGAGCTGTAGCGAGGAATATTGATCTCATTTTAATCCTGCTTGCTTTTTTTCATCTAAAAATGTTTCGCACATACCGATGATATCTGGTCTCTGTGATTTATGAAGATTTTTAAAGTTAGCCCTTATTTCATCAATTTTATGTAAAATATGTGGTATATTATGGCATGTTAATTTTAACCCTTTTTTTTTGGAGTGGCCATAAATGTTGGTATAATCTTGAATAGTTTTATTTTGCCTAATTGTTGTGTTCATTAAAGATTCAGGATTGTGATTTATCCTTTTATTTTTACAAGAATTATTAATATTATTTATATTTAGCTGGTGGATCTTAATAAGGTTACTTTCATTAATCATGTTTATAAAAGACACATGTTTACAACAACAATCAAAACAATCATTTTGACATACATCACACACAATCGTATTAAGTACTTCAAAAATATTTTTTATACATATGTTATCTGATTGACATTTTTTGCCAATTTTTCATGCTGAGTGTTTGTACCAGCAGTTAATCTCTTTATGTCCAAGACGAAAACAAAAGTTACATTTGATCCTTTGATCATGTTTGCAGTTTGACAGAGTGTGATAATTTGATCCACAGTTGTTATAGTAGGAGTCCCATGTATTTCTGTCATACGTTTGATACGGCTGCACTGACGGATTGACATTTCTAATAGGTATTACTTTGTTAGTGTTATCAATTAGTTTCGTGGTTCCCGAATTTGTTAGATGAACATCATCTGTGTGTATCAAGCCTTGCACTATTTCCCCATTACGCAAAACAAAGTTATCCAAATGGTTGATAAATGTGACATTTTCCTCTATACTAATTTCATAGAGGGCATTATTGATGTGGTCAAGGTTTGTGTTTGATCTGGGTAAACATTCCCCGATAATGACCGTTTTAATTCTATTGGTTTTTGCACTTTGGATAACATTTTTGTATTTCCGTTTGAAAGTTTATACAGATAATTTCGCATCATTTTCACCAAACTGTAGAACTATTGTATTTGACACTATGAAAATTAGCGATTGATTAAGTACTGGGAACCTCTTGTGGATCTGTTAATTTACTCATACCGGTATTTTATTCAAAACAGAGGGAAAATAATTTACAGCTTAGAAGTATACATGTGTTGTCGTAAAACCTTCGACTAATGATTCTATTGTTGTAAAACGAGGTTTTTTAGGGACGATATATAGTGTTTATTCAATGGTATCAGCGTGGACAGTGTAATCGCCAAAATATATAACACAGCCTACACACTTCTCCTAATTTGCGATTTTTAATAAAAAGAATGACATGGAATACCACATATACTGAATAGTATAAAAAACTATAACAAACATATTATAAAAGAAAGGAACAAAAAGAAACAAAGACGAAAAATCAACGAAAACAAAAGATCAATATCGGTTGAATACTGCAGATCAAGAACAGAGAGTTCAGAAAAAACACTGACAGCATGTAAAGATACACGTATGTTAACACATGTGTAAAAATTAACAAATTCCTGACGATCTAGGAACGGATGAGTGAAATCATTTGATTCACTGATGATTTTTTTCAGTATATATACACACATATACTTTAAACATACCAATGGTACGACATGCTGCAGTCCGAACATGTTTTAATATATAATATAAAAACAAGATTGACGAAACAAATCTTTTATTCAAAATCATTAGAAGAAATTATGAATTTTGCAAATAAAACAATTGACATGCGACAAAGTCTTTCACAGATATGGAACCAAAAAATCTTATGCTTTGAAAATGCAGATCTTCCAAATCATAGTTATTGTCAAATCTATGTAACAAAACAATGTTGTACTAACTACAATAGGGAACATTACAAACTTCCCATCGCTTTTTAGGGTCAGTGGTATAACACCAAGGTGCAGGTTCACCGTCTGGATTACGACAATAGTTTTCATCTAGATTATTAAATCGGTGACGATGAGGAGTATTCAACTTCCAACTCTGACAGGCCCTGTTGCTGATGGTGGTGCTGATCATTCCTCTATACTCAGAACCCTGAGCTGTCTTCTTACATCCTTTCTCCTTAACTGCAATAATAATAAATTCAAATACTAATAATTTTAAAGACAATTGTTTTTTCTATTATTAATTTTTGATAATTTCCAGGTTATTGTTTCCTAAATATTCTTATTTTTCTCAAATGTACGTCAAATGACTAAAACAGAATACTTCCTTAATAAGGTTTTACGTGTTAACTGATTATCCATTTATGTTTTGTACATACACGTAATTTGCCAATTTGTCAAAATTTGTTGAACTTTTTGTTTGCATTAAGAACTGATTGAAATGTATCTGATTCAAAAAAAAAAAAAGAAGATAAATGTTGCTTTTATTACCATAGGGGTACAGTCAGATCAATATGGATGCTAAAGGTCTATAAAAGTATAGAATATATGTTAAAAAAAGACGAAAAGTATGCATTTGTTCACTTGTTTAAAAGGTTCATTATATTGTATAAACATTTCCGTTTTTACTGATGAGAAAATATAAAGAGGTGATCGTAATCGCTTGTTTCGTGGAAATTCCTTATGGTTGATGTAAAGTGTGAAAACATGATCAAAACGATAAAATGATTGTAACTTCTAGACAGCGTCACCCTGCAAAATTGTTTTTGTTCGTTTTTATTACATACATAACTTAAACTTAATTGACACATTCCCCGTTTCAATTCTCAATTCCATTAAATGGTATAAACTGCAAAAACAAAAATGATAAACGCTTATATTTCTATTCGATAACTCAGAAATTTTCAAACAATAACATATAGTTATAAACAAAAATCTGTAGACTAATTTTTGAGAACATGCAATTGAAAGCAACAAATGCTTATTTTCGCCGATTTTTACAATTGTTTTATACATTTATAGACTTAGTTCAGCAATTTGCAATCAACTATATCTTTTGGAGTATAAAAGCTACATAAGAATATGATTTATATGATATTAAAATAAAATTCAAAAACTTCTGAATACATAAACCACAAAATCACCAAAACCTGATAGATCAAATAATAAAAATGCCAAAAACAGACATAGACAAAAACTGTACATGAATTACCATCTGACAAATCAGTCATAGAGATGGAACCACAAAATCTTGTTCTTTGAAAATGCAGATTTTCCAAAGCATATTCATTGTAAACTTTTTGTAAAAAATAATTTTATACTAACTACAAAAGGGGACATTACAAACTTCCCATCGCTTTTTAGGGTCAGTGGTATAACACCAAGGTGCAGGTTCACCGTCTGGATTACGACAATAGTTTTCATCTAGATTATTGAATCGGTGACGATGAGGAGTATTCAACTTCCAACTCTGACAGGCCCTGTTGCTGATGGTGGTGCTGATCATTCCTCTATACTCAGAACCCTGAGCTGTCTTCTTACATCCTTTCTCCTTAACTGCAATAATAATAAATTCAAATACTAATAATTTTAAAGACAATTGGTTTTTTTTTATTATTAATTTTTGATAATTTCCAGGTAATTGTTTCCTAAATATTCTTATTTTTCTCAAATGTACGTCAAATGACTAAAACAGAATACTTCCTTAATCAGGTTTTACTTGTTAACTGATTATCCATTTATGTTTTGTACATACACGTAATTTGCCAATTTGTCAAAATTTGTTGTACTTTTTGTATGCATTCAGAACTGATTGAAATGTATCTGATTCTCAAAAAAAAAAAAGAAGATAAATGTTGCTTTTATTACCATAGGGGTACAGTCAGATCATTATTGATGCTAAAGGTCTATAAAAGTATAGAATATGTTAAAAAAGACGAAAAGTATGCATTTGTTCACTTGTTTAAAAGGTTCATTATATTGTATAAACATTTCCGTTTTTACTGATGAGAAAATATAAAGTGGTGATCGTAATCGCTTGTTTCGTGGAAATTCCTTAAGATTGATGTAAAGTGTGAACACAGGATCAAAACGACAAAATGATTGTAACGTCTAGACGGCGTCACTCTGCAAAATTGTTTTTGTTTGTTTTTATTACATACATAACTAAAATTTAATTGACACATTCCCCGTTTCAATTCTCAATTCCATTAAATGGTATAAACTGCAAAAACAAAAACGATAAACGCTTATATTTTTATTCGACAACTCAGAAATTTTCAAGCAATAACATATAGTTTTAAACAAACATCTGTAGACTAATTTTTGAGAACACGCAAATGAAAGCAACAATTGCTTATTTTCGCCTGTTTTTACAATCGTTTTATACATTTATAGACTTAGTTCAGCAATTTGCAATCAACTATGTCCTTTGGAGTATAAAAGCTACATAAGAATATGATTTATATCATATTTAAATAAAATTCAAAATTTCTAAATATATAAACCAAAAAATCACCAAAACCTGATAGATCAAGTAATAAAAATGCCAAAAACAGACATAGACAAAAACTGTACATGAATTACCATCTGACAAATCAGTCATAGAGATGGAACCACAAAATCTTGTTCTTTGAAAATGCAGATTTTCCAAAGCATATTCATTGTAAACTTTTTGTAAAAAATAATGTTATACTAACTACAAAAGGGGACATTACAAACTTCCCATCGCTTTTTAGGGTCAGTGGTATAACACCAAGGTGCAGGTTCACCGTCTGGATTACGACAATAGTTTTCATCTAGATTCTTAAATCGGTGACGATGAGGAGTATTCAACTTCCAACTCTGACAGGCCCTGTTGCTGATGGTGGTGCTGATCATTCCTCTATACTCAGAACCCTGAGCTGTCTTCTTACATCCTTTCTCCTTAACTGCAATAATAATAAATTCAAATACTAATAATTTAAAAGACAATTGTTTTTTCTATTATTAATTTTTGATAATTTCCAGGTTTTTGTTTCCTAAATATTCTTATTTTTCTCAAATGTACGTCAAATGACTAAAACAGAATACTTCCTTAATAAGGTTTTACGTGTTAACTGATTATCCATTTATGTTTTGTACATACACGTAATTTGCCAATTTGTTAAAATTTGTTGTACTTTTTGTATGCATTAAGAACTAATTGAAATGTATCTGATTCTCAAAAAAAAGGAAGATAAATGTTGCTTTTATCACCATAGGGGTACAGTCAGATCAATGTTGATGCTAAAGGTCTATAAAAGTATAGAATATATGTTAAACAAGACGAGAAGTATGCATTTGTTCACTTGTTTAAAAGGTTCATTATATTGTATAAACATTTCCGTTTTTACTGATGAGAAAATATAAAGAGGTGATCGTAATCGCTTGTTTCGTGGAAATTCCTTAAGGTTGATGTAAAGTGTGAACACAGGATCAAAACGACAAAATGATTGTAACGTCTAGACGGCGTCACTCTGCAAAATTGTTTTTGTTTGTTTTTATTACATACATAACTCAAATTTAATTGACACATTCCCCGTTTCAATTCTCAATTCCTTTAAATGGTATAAACTGCAAAAACAAAAACGATAAACGCTTATATTTCTATTCGATAACTCAGACATTTTCAAGCAATAACATATAGTTTTAAACAAACATCTGTAGACTAATTTTTGAGAACACGCAATTGAAAGCAACAAATGCTTATTTTCGCCGATTTTTACAATCGTTTTATACATTTATAGACCTAGTTCAGCAATTTGCAATCAACTATATCTTTGAAGTATGAAAGCTACAAAAGAATATGATTTATATGATATATAGATAAAATTCAAAAACTTCTAAATATATAAACCAAAAAATCACCAAAACCTGATAGATCAAATAATACAAATGCCAAAAACAGACATAGACAAAAACTGTACATGAATTACCATCTGACAAATCAGTCATAGAGATGGAACCACAAAATCTTGTATTTTGAAAATGCAGATTTTCCAAAGCATATTCATTGTAAACTTTTTGTAAAAAATAATGTTATACTAACTACAAAAGGGGACATTACAAACTTCCCATCGCTTTTTAGGGTCAGTGGTATAACACCAAGGTGCAGGTTCACCGTCTGGATTACGACAATAGTTTTCATCTAGATTCTTAAATCGGTGACGATGAGGAGTATTCAACTTCCAACTCTGACAGGCCCTGTTGCTGATGGTGGTGCTGATCATTCCTCTATACTCAGAACCCTGAGCTGTCTTCTTACATCCTTTCTCCTTAACTGCAATAATAATAAATTCAAATACTAATAATTTTAAAGACAATTGTTTTTTCTATTATTAATTTTTTATAACTATCAGGTTTTTGTTTCCTAAATATTCTTATTTTTCTCAAATGTACGTCAAATGACTAAAACAGAATACTTCCCTAATAAGGTTTTACGTGTTAACTGATTATCCATTTATGTTTTGTACATACACGTAATTTGCCAATTTGTTAAAATTTGTTGTACTTTTTGTATGCATTAAGAACTGATTGAAATGTATCTGATTCTCAAAAAAAAAAAAAAAAGAAGATAAATGTTGCTTTTATTACCATAGGGGTACAGTCAGATCAATATTGATGCTGAAGGTCTATAAAAGTATAGAATATATGTTAAAAAAAGACGAAAAGTATGCATTTGTTCACTTGTTTAAAAGGTTCATTATATTGTATAAACATTTCCGTTTTTACTGATGAGAAAATATAAAGAGGTGATCGTAATCGCTTGTTTCGTGGAAATTCCTTAAGGTTGATGTAAAATGTGAAAACAGGATCAAAACGACAAAATGATTGTAACGTCTAGACGGCGTCACCCTGCAAAATTGTTTTTGTTCGTTTTTATTACATACATAACTCAAACTTAATTGACACATTCCCCGTTTCAATTCTCAATTCCATTAAATGGTATAAACTGCAAAAACAAAAACGATAAACGCTTATATTTCTATTCGATAACTCAGACATTTTCAAGCAATAACATATAGTTTTAAACAAACATCTGTAGACTAATTTTTGAGAACACGCAATTGAAAGCAACAAATGCTTATTTTCGCCGATTTTTACAATCGTTTTATACATTTATAGACCTAGTTCAGCAATTTGCAATCAACTATATCTTTTGGAGTATAAAAGCTACAAAAGAATATGATTTATATGATATTTAGATAAAATTCAAAAACTTCTAAATATATAAACCAAAAAATCACCAAAACCTGATAGATCAAGTAATACAAATGCCAAAAACAGACATAGACAAAAACTGTACATGAATTACCATCTGACAAATCAGTCATAGAGATGGAACCACAAAATCTTGTTCTTTGAAAATGCAGATTTTCCAAAGCATATTCATTGTAAACTTTTTGTAAAAAATAATGTTATACTAACTACAAAAGGGGACATTACAAACTTCCCATCGCTTTTTAGGGTCAGTGGTATAACACCAAGGTGCAGGTTCACCGTCTGGATTACGACAATAGTTTTCATCTAGATTCTTAAATCGGTGACGATGAGGAGTATTCAACTTCCAACTCTGACAGGCCCTGTTGCTGATGGTGGTGCTGATCATTCCTCTATACTCAGAACCCTGAGCTGTCTTCTTACATCCGTTCTCCTTAACTGCAATAATAATACATTCAACTAATAATAATTTTAAAGGCAATTGTTTTTTTTTATTATTAATTTTTGATAATTTCCAGGTAATTGTTTCCTAAATATTCTTATTTTTCTTAAATGTACGTCAAATGACTTAAACAGAATTCTTCCTTAATAAGGTTTCACGTGTTAATTGATTATCCATTTATGTTTTGTACATACGTAATTTGCCAATTTGTCAAAATTTGTTGAACTTTTTGTATGCATTAAGAACTGATTGAAATGTATCTGATTCTCAAAAAAAAAAAAGAAGATAAATGTTGCTTTTATTACCCTAGGGGTACAGTCAGATCAATATTGATGCTAAAGGTCTATAAAAGTTTGAATATATGTTAAAAAAGACGAAAAGTATGCATTTGTTCACTTGTTTAAAAGGTTCATTATATGTTGTATAAACATTTCCGTTTTTACTGATGAGAAAATATAAAGAGGTGATCGTAATCGCTTGTTTCGTTGAAATTCCTTAAGGTTGATGTAAAGTGTGAAAACAGGATCAAAACGACAAAATGATTGCAACGTCTAGACAGCGTCACCCTGGAAAATTGTTTTTGTTCGTTTTTATTACATACATAGCTCAAACTTAATTGACACATTCCCCGTTTCAATTCTCAATTCCATTAAATGGTATAAACTGCAAAACCAAAACCGATAAACGCTTATATTTTTATTCGATAACTCAAAAATTTTCAAGCAATAACATATAGTTTTAAGGTTCCACTAAAGTCAAAATATAGGACACTTCATAAACATCTAAACTTTGCCTGTATTTTTCAACCTATAATGAGTAAAATCCTAAACTATGAGAACATATGTTCATTTAAACATACTTAACATATACACACCGTGTAAATTGTAAATAAACTTGAAATTGTTATGCTGTGGCCAAACCGGTTCTTGGGGTGAACACTAAATTTTCAAAAAAATCTGAAGGCCTGCGAGACGACTTAATTTGCTTAAAATTGATATGGACGAATACTGTTACATGTAATGCAGGGCAAGCTCATGTTGATTTGTCACATACATATGTTTTAATGGCATATTTGTCCAATTTCTGTATTGTACCTTCCATATTTGTTCACCTAGATACATGAAATTAACTGAAACTCGAAAATCAATACATTTTATGAAAAATCAACATGAGCTTGCCCTGCATTAGATATAACAGTATTCGTCCATACCAATTTTAAACAAATTAAGACGTCTCGCAGGCCTCCAGATTTTTTTGAAAATTTAGTGTTCACCCCAAGAACCGGTTTGGCAACAACATAACAATTTCAAGTTTATTTACAATTTACAGTGTGTATATGTTAAGTATGTTTAAATGAACATATGTTCTCATAGTTTAGGACTTTACTCATTATAGGTTGAAAAATACAGGCAAAGTTTAGATGTTTATGAAGTGTCCTATATTTTGACTTTAGTGGAACCTTAAACAAACATCTGTAGACTAATTTTTGAGAACACGCAATTGAAAGAAACAAATGCTTTTTTTCGCCGATTTTTACAATCGTTTTATACATTTATAGACCTAGTTCAGCAATTTGCAATCAACTGTATCTTTTGGAGTATAAAAGCTACATAAGAATATGATTTATATGATATTTAGATAAAATTCAAAAACTTCTAAATACATAAACCAAAAAATCACCAAAACCTGATAGATCAAATAATAAAAATGCCAAAAACAGACATAGACAAAAACTGTACATGAATTACCATCTGACAAATCAGTCATAGAGATGGAATCACAAAATCTTGTTCTTTGAAAATGCAGATTTTCCAAAGCATATTCATTGTAAACTTTTTGTAAAAAATAATGTTATACTAACTACAAAAGGGGACATTACAAACTTCCCATCGCTTTTTAGGGTCAGTGGTATAACACCAAGGTGCAGGTTCACCGTCTGGATTACGACAATAGTTTTCATCTAGATTCTTAAATCGGTGACGATGAGGAGTATTCAACTTCCAACTCTGACAGGCCCTGTTGCTGATGGTGGTGCTGATCATTCCTCTATACTCAGAACCCTGAGCTGTCTTCTTACATTCTTTCTCCTCGACTGCAATAATAATGAATTCTAATACAAATAATTTTTAAAAAAAATGTTCTTCTGTTATTATTTTTTTTTATGTTTTCAAGGTAATTGTTTCCTTAATTCTTATTTTTTTTTTCAAATGTATGTCAAATGACTGAAAAGAAGAACAGAAATGGCACGCGTCATCAGTTTGAATGTTTTGAAAAGTATCAAGAATTATGTAGACTATTTCAATATGATTTATAAATATGATTATGTCTAGATATATTTTTTAAATTGAAATTTGAAGTCAGTAATTATTGTTGTTTCTGTTAACATTTTAGAAATGTAAATATTATAACGTCTTTGCTGGACGCTGCCACTTATCCACGCTCGATTGAGATTTAGAACTTATGATTTTATGATGGGATTGTCTATCGTTGACAGTCGTTAGGTGACTTAGTGCCAAATACCCGCCGTGTCGACGCATCTGACCTCTTTCGAGTTAGGAATCAAGTGAAGCCTTTTATTAGTATTCTCTTAAGTTCAGTGTTTACTTATCAGTTCCTAAAAAGTTGAAGTTCATTATACTATCATTTTTTACCGTCATACTGAGATGTTTAAATGTTTGTATATCTTAACGATTATCTCTATTTGTATATTACGGCTAATTATTAAATAAGAGTGTAAATGTATGAGAATACCGGTATAATAAATAGAAATCGTTAATTCGCCAACAAACAAAATGGTACGCAATATAAACAAATAGTCCTACTTACCGTCAGAATTATCATTTAAAGATCTACATTGTGTAACGAAAGTGACTATCAATATGCTGAAAAATATGAATGACTTCATTGTTCTAGGAATTGTGGTGTCTTCACTACATATGGGTGTTTTTTATATTAAAAAATTTGACAGATTAGTGAAATCAACACTTGATAAACAGTGTATTGTGATATTGGACGTCAGGATGTTAAATTTACCATATAGTTACATTAAATTATGTTCCATAAAAACCCATTATTTTGATTGGCTGATAACAATAGCTTAACATTCCAATATCATATTCTATTTCCGTATAAAATATTACAGCTGTGACTGCAAGTGATATCAGTGACAATGTTAAAAATAACGTATTGAAAAACAAACGAAAAGCTTGATATAACTGTTAATTTCATGGTTGCAGCGTAAAAATGTAGTAATAATAAGAATTACATAATTCTTCTTATAATTTTGTATGGTTGTAAAAGAGCTTTATATTAGATGTGCTTAGGGCATCGCATTTACACCCCAATAAAATTATTAAAAGAAGCATTCAATTAGGAATTAATTAAACTGAAGTAACTGAATATGCATTATGTCCTCGTGGAATATTTTTCTATTTCACGTTTAGTGAATTAAGTTTGATACGTTTTGGGTGAATTTCATTTTGTTATAACATGTTCACGATCAAGAGACTAGAAAAGAACATCTTCGAAACCATATTAACGCAGAGCTTATTAAAAGACAAGTCAGATATTGAAATTTTATGAACAACGGAAAAATAGAAATAAAACAATACAAGAACATGTGTGTAAATCTAACGAATTGATTAACATAAATATAAAGGCAAAAGTTATAGACCACTGTTAATAGTCATAATTCGATTTGGCAAAAACTAATCTGGGCAACAAACTAAAACAGAGGGAAACACATCTACTATAAGAAGAAAACAACGGAACAACGGAAACACTGTACTACAACGAGAGCAAACGCCAACATATATAGATATAAGATGTTGTATGAGTGCCAATGAACAACTCTCCATCCAAGTCATTATTTGTAAAAAGTAAACCATTATAGGTCAAAGAACGGCCTTCAACACTGAGCCTTGGCTCACAACGAACAGCAAGCTATAAAGGGCTCAAAAAATGACTAGTGTTAAACCATTCAAAAAGGAAAACCAACGGCCTAATCTACATAAAAAACGAGAAACCAGAAACACTTATGATAGAAACGGACTGTAGATAACAACTGCCATGTTCATGACTTAGTACAGGACATTTTAAGAAAATATGGAGGGTTGAACCTGGTTTTATGGCTAGCCAAACCTCCCGCTTATATGACAATTTTAATAATTCCGCTAAAATGACAACACTGTGTGACAGGAATACAGTTCAAACAAACGTAAGAATGGCCTCCCCGGACAGCTTGATGAAAATTTCGTGTTTTCGTAAGAAGTTTCAAGTTTAAGTCTAAAGTCTAACTACAAGTTACATGTATTTTTTAAATTTCATCTTTGAATATTTTTTTTTAACTTTTTAACTATTAAAGATTTGAAATCAGCAACAAATGCCCTACAGGACAAATACAATTAATCAAGTCTCGAAAACAAGGTTTATTTATTAATTGAAATTGGCTTCGACCTAGATTTCAGTAAATCCGATAATATTTGATTGGTGCTGTTTGTGTGTTATTTTTTATTTGTTTTGTTGTGCTTCGTGCCAATCGGATGAATTGAAAATTAAAAACATTTGAAACTTACTTTTACTGTTTTTAACACTGTCAAAAGTTAGGATATGTTTGACCGCTAATAAACTTTTCGAAAGCCTGTAATTGAGTGTTCGTTGTTTCATGCTTACTTGCTTACTTTGTACCATATTTATGTTCCGTTATTGTTTTTAGAGTGCAAATGAATCTCATTTTTACAATAAATATCGGGCATATCAAACCTATGTACATACCTATTAAAATTATAGCAATACTAAAATATTTCTACATTGAAATTCTGTGCTTGGAACTTATAAAGATATTGTATTTCTTTCTTCTTTGTGACGTTGCCTGAATGAATTCTTCTGTGTATACAGCAACCGATATCACAGTGTTAAACGGCATGTTTTCATATCCGGGATTAAGTGATTTGAGCTTGCTATCTGGAAGTGCGACCAACTTTTACTTC